ATTGTAAGCATGTTGTAGCTGTTTTGCTCTTTTTGGAAAGGTACGTATATTAAATTATTTACTCAATAAAACCGAATTAATCAAATATTATATGATATTAAAAATTCGAAAAACTCTGTGTCTTAAAAAATAATTAAATAAATTATCGCTGGTTATCGCTTATTATCTGGTTCATTTTCTGAAAACAATAAATTTATAATTCATATTTCACATGCAAAATTGGTTTAACGATCTCTAACCTCTGTTTTTGCTTACATTTTCAGGTATTCAGAAAAAAGTAATGCTTAACTTATCCTTTATAGACATGGCCGAATATATTAATAATTGCATTCATTTCTGTCAAAAAACGTAAAACATATTCACACTTGACCCTCCTTCCACTAGTTCCGAAATCAGCCACTAGATAGCATATCGCTATGTGAGCATCGCGAATTGGTATAAACTTATAAACAAAACCTATCAATGCGTACGAGCCGCAAGGAGATTATGGAAATTCGCGTCACTTGCAAAAAGTACTAGTACAATATAAAGACTAGCGTACGATTTACCCAACTCCCTCTATTTTGACAGATTTACCAATAGCAACATAACTTATAAATATTTTACTAATTTAATGTTATATTCGAAAAAAGTCTAAATATCAATTATAATCCTGAAGAACATTATGGTCATGGTATAAAGACAAGGGTATGCTTATGCGCATATAGTGTGTGTTCCAAACAGGGGCTTTAATCTCCCATTGCTTTTGTAGAGACTAGTGTCCCTAGAAGATAGAGTATGCTTTCCTTTTAGAGGACACACTCGACACAAACATCGTTCTATCTTTACCATTCGTTGAATGTTAAGAAGGATAGAACTACGTTTGTGTCGAGTGTGTCATCTAAAAGGAAAGCATACAGAGTCTGGCCACTACCCCTCAAAATGGCGTCAGTAAGTGGTGGGGATTGATCACAGCTGATCACAGTTTTCTCGAAATATGTACATACATTTCGTGATATCGCGAAACTATAAGAGATACAAAAAAATTTCTAGAACAAAAATTGAATGGTTTTAGGAGTACTTTAGAACTATGATAAAAAAAGATTTCTTTAATTATTTATTTATTATATACTCCCACCCCCACCTTATTTTCAAAAATTTTTAAACTTTTATGTGACGAAAATTAAAGAGTATTTTTTACTGAAAACAACGGTGTGTATTTAAATCACTTTCCGAAAAACCATTTTTCAGATATAAACGAAAACGTTTATATGTACGCGCTCCGTACGTATTCGTACACATGTGTGTGGGAGGAATACCTTTGCTTCTCACGTTTGGGGTGCTTGGTTTACGTGAGTCCCCTTGCCTCTCACGTTTTGGATACTTGATTCATACATTTATAAATTTAAATTTTATTACATAACATTTTTTGTTTTTTTAATATTATAATATTTTTTTATACTCTTTTGTAGATTTAATTTAATTTAATTTTTTACTGTTGATAATTTATGCAATAATGAGGACTCCCAGAATTGTTGAGGTCAGAGAAATGCTGTATGTACATTGATTTTGTGCACCAAGCATATTTAAAAATTACTATGTCATGACAAAAGTCACAGATAGCCTTACAATTTGTAAAATAAAAATTTACAGGTGTCTCGCATTTAGGAGGTTTCTCTTCACAAACAAACAAACAAAATTTAACACCATTGATAAATGTGGAAAAGAGGTAAATATTTTGACCATTCCTGCCGGAACAACTGATATGATTCAACAATTGGATGTTTAAACATTTCGATCGTGGAAGAATTTTCTAAAACATTTCTCGGATGTAATTATATTGTATAATTATGATATAAATTTGCATTTAAGAAATAATATTTAAAAAATTCAATCTCTTATTCATAATCAATTTTCATCTCCCAGATTCGTAAACCTTTTTAGATATGCGTGGTACAAGAGTGATTACACTGAAGAGAAACCTCCTAAACGCGAGACACCTGTAAATTTTTATTTTACAAATTGTGAGGCTATCTGTGACTCTTGTCATGACATAGCAATTTTTAGGTATGCTTGGTGCACAAAATCAATGTGCATACAGCATTTCTCTAACCTCAACAATTTTGGGAGTCCTCATTATTGCATAAATTATCAATAGTAAAAAATTAAATTAAATCTATAAAAGAGTATAAAAAAATATAATATTAAAAAAACAAAAAATGTTATATAATAAAATTTAAATTTATAAATGTATGAATCAAGCATCCAAAACGTGAGAGGCAAGGGGACTCACGTAAACCAAGCACTCCAAACGTGAGAAGCAAGGGTATTCCTCCCACATACATGTGTACGAATACGTACGGAGCGCGTACATATAGACGTTTTCGTTTATATCTGAAAAATGGTTTTTCGGAAAGTGATTTAAATACACACCATTGTTTTCAGTAAAAAATACTCTTTAATTTTCGTCACATAAAAGTTTAAAAATTTTTGAAAATAGGGGTGGGGGTGAGAGTATACAATAAATAAATAATTAAAAAAATCTTTTTTTATCATAGTTCTAAAGTACTCCTAAAACCATTCAATTTTTGTTTAAAAAATTTTTTTGTATCTCTTATAGTTTCGACGATATTCGCTTTGAAAGAGAAAAACCGATTTTTTTCAAAGGGGTGTTTCATCCCTTAAAAGTGAATTTGGGCACGTATAAAAAAATACGTGTCGCTTATTTTTATCTGGAGAACAACATTCTAAAAGCTCAAAACAATCGGCGTGTGACACTTGGGTAGTTTTACTTATTAGATAAATTGTACCAAACTTCAGATCAGACACCGAACAAAATCAATTTTGAATGCCGCTCGTAAACAGATAACTCGAAGACAGAACAAAACTAATAGTTCTTAATCCATATCACCAGCATCACATTAGTGTCATTACCTTAAAAAAAAAATGTTTCGTTTAGAAAATACAATAGAGGTACGATTTCATCGTCGGTACGACTTAGCTAATTCCACCATAAATTTTTCTCTACATCTTATAGATTAGAAAATATTTCAGGTACTAATAGTTATTAGGACACCTTGTATAAATTGGCAATTACAGAAGTACCCAAGATCCAGCTTGATCGTTACGGTCTGTTTCTCATTAGTTTTAATTCTCAGTCTCATAAGATTTAACATTAAAAAGTTTTAAAGTTTAAATTTAAACAGTACAGAAAATTCGAAAATAAAATATTAACTCACTCAAAAACATTTGAAATTAAATTTGCTTTGGTGAATTCGAAAATTATGATTCTTATACGCATTATAATTTTTATATTAGATATTAAGGGGTAACGCCACTCTAGAATTTTCAAAATAATCAAAAAATTTTTTTTGTTTAAATGATGCCTTAGTCTTAAAAATAATGTACACTTGGCCCCGTAGTGCGATAAAATTTTTAAGTACTTATTTCGAAACCGAAACTGCCTTCGCTCGATTAATAAAAAAAGATTCGTGATACTCGTAGCAGAAGGCAAAAGAGGCCAGGGTATTGTTAAAATCGGTCAGAAAAGACGCAGAGTAGGAGAATTTGGAAGGTGAAATGTATGGTGCAGGCATTGCCGACTAGAGGTATATAAAAAAAATTTATACTATTTTAGTACTTAAAACTTTAAACACGTTTTTCTCGAAACAATGTTTTTCAAGTTGTACGTAGGAGTTTTTTGATATCTTGTCAACTTTTTTTGTTATAAACAATTTACGATGAAATTTTTTACTGAAAAATGAATTTTTTCTTCAAATAAGCATTATTTTTTCAAAATTCAATATTTTCAAAATCCCCTACGTACTTCTGTAGCCAATTATATATAGTTTACAAAAAATTTTGGTTTTTTGTTCCGGATTGAAAATTGTGGGAGAAACTTTTCCGGCCGTGAAGCCCTTTCAGCGAGAGATGGTCTCGAGTTTCGTATTATGCAGCCGCCATTTTGTTTAAAAATGTTAATTAAAAAATTTTTTTATTTGCTTCAGAACATGTATAATACACTCCTATAAACAGATTTTCTATTTCCTTTATTGTATCTCCGTAAAAAATTATCAAAAACATGTCTTTTTTTCGAGCTCTAGAGTGGCGTTACCCCTTAATAGAGACATAATAAAAAAGAGCAGTTTACAGAAAAAGTTTATAAATAATATACAGGTATATTCTTCTATTTTCTCTTACTCTTTTCATGATTGATCACAAAATTTACATTAATTAAAAATATTACATCTAATTAAGAGCTTATGAAAATTTAATTGGAGTTATTATCTCACTTAATCATTAAACCCCAATAAAGTGCACAATTGATCATATAATTATTAAATTTAACATTAGCATATCTACATTACATTATAGATACGACGTTGTGAGTAACGTGTTATTCTTGCGGATTATTTTGTCAGATATGCGCGATGTCTTTGCACTGTAGTTTTACATTGCCTACAACAACGCACTAAACTTATTATCCTCGATTTCCTACAGCAAGTATAAAAATATGTAGAAACATAATTTCCGAAAAAATCTTCCACTGATATGGAAATAATTTACATCGTCCATATTTTATTTATCAGATGTTCCATATGTATGATAAAAATGTCGATTCGCGTTATTAATATTGCGATAATAACTATAACCGGAGTTTTGTTTTAACAATTGATCATTCACGCTAATTCAAGATTTTGGAATTTCACGTTAAAAACAAAACAAAAAATAAATATCAAATCGAGGATACAAATAATTTATCTGCATACACTGGTATTAAATTTCGAAAATTCACGAGGTCATAATCACAAAATAAATCTAAAAAAAGAATAAAACAAAGAAACCGATAAAGTATCAAATTATTGAAACCAAAAAGCTCTTACGTGGCAATTTGTCTCACGTTCACGTAATACATAAATTGGATTACGTAACGGTACATCTGTTGCAGGCACGGAGCTTCAAGGTGTGATAAAACGGCGACCGATAGAGGAACATGCACATGAAAAGTGAAAGGAACCTACCAAGCGGAGAAACACTATTTTACCAGGCACTGAATGATCGAATGACTGAATGACTGACTGGTTGACTGCGGATGCCGGGCCCATGTTTCACTTATATCGGCACGGTACCCCCGTGCAAATCCCCCACTCATAGGGCAGACAAATCAGTCGCGAATGAGTATCTTGTAAATGATCATGCACAGATGACACCAGCAACCGAATGACCGTTGAAGATAATGGAAGATTCTAGATCCTCTATCAAGCCTCGAGCCGGCTTCTTTCGCATATGATTCAGCCAATTAAATGTGGTGTTGCACAATTGATGTTATAAAACGTAACAATAATTCCACAATGACATAATTATTAGCTGCAAATATACAGGAAAAAACATTACATATTTGTATTAGAAACAATCCATTCGAATCTTTTTAAAATTTTGTTTCGAATTTTTCTATCCGAGTGTTAATTTAACATAATATGATTCGTTATTTGAATATTTTGTATTAAACTACAATATTTAACATTTCTTAGTATTAAAATAATATAAATTATGAGTGAACAAATAACATATAATAGTTTTTTAAAACGTAAATTCTAAGATAAATAAATAAAATGTTTTTCTAAATTAAATAAAATGTGTTAATTTAACATTTTATAAATGTAAATTTATTGAAACCGATTTATTTAACGTATAAATGTTATACTTAGTTAATGTTATCAATGTTAATTTTAATGAAGAAATATAATATACACTTATAAATTGAATCAGTTACATTTCTTTGTGTGAATTTTTTACATAATATTTGTGTTACTTTCTAACATCTTGTGTTGAATTAATACAAAAATTTGTGTGAATCTTTATAGAAACGTGAAATGTGTTATGTTAAATTTAACACAAATTTTCCAACTGTGTAGGAAGTAACGAAACGCCGTTACAAGTTAAATCAAAATAAAAAAGTTAAAAATATACTCTTGGAAAAATGTCGAATATGACGCATTTCATATGACTCAACGATATCGAATTCAACTTTTTTTTGTTCATTTAACATAATATGCGAAAATATTAGAAAACAATATCGATATAAAAAAAATGGTCACATAAAAAAGATAATGCTGAATACAGTTTTTTAATAAATTGTAGAAGATATATTTTTTAAATATAATTAACATTTATGATATGTTATTAAACTAACTGGTGTCATTATTCTTATTTACCCAGGTTGCTACCTGCATGTTAATGTCCTTTGAATGTTCGTTGAATGTTATAACCGTAATTAAAATAACTGTCTAAGTGTTAGGAGTTCGCACCTAACTAATGTTCGGAGAATGTTTGGAGAATATTCGTAAAACATTATGATATGAATGTTTGGGGAACATTCATTTAACATTTGGATAAGTATAGCAACCTGCTTTTCCAAAAATTACTTCCAGTATCCACTATTGCGTGTATTTTGTATTAATGTTCCTGCAGGAAGGATACGATTACGCTTGCCGCGCAGAAAAAGGAGACGCGCGCGATAGCTAATTATTCTTTTGTTTTTATGGAACAGTTATACAAATTCTTTGTTACCGTATCGCTTTTTGCGCGGCAAGAATTACCTCTCCTGCTGCAGAAGAGAGAGGAAGCCATAATAAGAAATGGATCCAATAAATTGAAAGATTTTTAAACAGTCTCTAATTCTTATAATAATACATAAACTGAAAAGAACTCTTGTGTGAACTAATAAAGATTCTTGAACTATTAAAGTAAGATTATAAACTGATTCATTACAAAATAAATTTAACATATATATCATATATAACTATCACATTTAGTCCGAACATATATTGATTAACATGCGTTAATAAGCTCTATGATTTGCAAAACAAAGAAAACACAAATAGTAAATGCAATTATAAAAAAACTAAATGGAACACACATCTGTATCAATCTTACATATCTTTGGTAAACTTATATTAAAAACTTCGAAAATTTGTATTCTATAACAAACTGCCATTGTATATAAGATGTATAACACATCAAAGTTAGATTTAGAAATGAAATTACTGAGGAGAGACAATTAAATGTAATACAAATATATAGAGTCTCTACTTATTTGTCACTCCTAAAAGGTGAGTAACGTAAATAGTCCATTATTGCTTTATCAATAATTTTCCCATTGTTATCTGGGTATACGAGTAACACTGCATCTGAAAAAAAACATTAGGCAATATTTAATTCGTTTTTATATAGTTATAATACAGTTTCAGCTCTGACAAACCTTGTTTAATCATTTTGTTAAAAAAAAGAGAAATCTACATATACTAGGATATTACATTTTGATGGTACTTCAATGAACTAAAAAATTGTGAAGCAATCATACCTTTGACAACTTTGCACATGCTTGTGGAAGAAAAAGCAAATTTTTATTCCTTCCCTTTTTGTTTTCTCCCCCTAAAACTATAGAGTCTGCCAACTGCACGTGTGAGCAATTTTTTCATAATGCGGTCAACACATTCCTGTACTGATATTCTACCTTCGGTGGAAAGTCTTTTAGTCTGTAAATATTTAATACTTCCTTCAATCCAAAAAGTTTATTGTAAAAGAATATCTTATGTTCTGCTGTGGAAATCATTAAATAAGCTTCAAATTTATTTTTACAAGGTATTCCATTTTTGATGTAGATGAAGCTAAACATTTCTCCATTTTCTCTGCTGTACTGATATTTTCAATTGGTATTTGTGACATTCCTTTAGGATGAGATACGACTATTCCTTTATTCCTAAGTCGCTGCACTATCATCTTAAAAAAACTTTTTTTTAAAAAAAGAAAAAACATACGCCAAGTGCATAAAAATATATTGAACTTCTTGATCAAAAACAGATATGAGATAAATATAATTGACCAAGTGTATTCTTCATTACGCCAGTCACATAAGACAGACTGAAAGTGATTATAATTATCAACTGGATTATAGTGAAGAAAAAACTTGGCGTGCCCGGGTCGCATTAATTGTAAACAGTATGCAGTGAAAACATTATTTCAACATAGTATTTGCATTATAAATAACAGACGTATATATGATATTATATATGTATACAGATATAATATCATATATACGTATAACATAGTGATATAATTTGTGAGACATTAAAATATATTCACAAATAATAGATGTGATGTAAATTATGGATAAATATAATGTTTAGATATATATTTTAGAAACAATATAAATAACAATTTTTTATGTTCAGTAAGTAATTATTAACATCTTTTCTTTGTTGAATTATTGTTTTCGCATATATAGTGTATACTGCAGATTAATGCGACCCGGGCACGCCAAGTTTTTTCTTCACTATAATCCAGTTGACAATTATAGTCACTTTCGGTCTGTCTTATGTGACTGGCGTAATGAAGAATATACTTGGTCAATTATATTTATCTCATATCTGTTTTTGATCAAGAAGTTCAATATATTTTTATGCACTGGCGTATGTTTTTTCTTTTTTTAAAAAAAGATTTTTTAAAGATATTTCACCGCTTTTTGTAAATTTTGAAAACGTGATAATAGTGTAGGAAATTTAAATCCTCTAAAAATAAATGCAGATTCTATTTCTAAAATAGTTGTCGGGACTCGGTCTCTAGATCTTGGTATCGGCTGCACCAATTTTATTCGGACTGGTGGCAATCGAAGGATACCGATGACATTATGTAATAAAAGTGTTTTTAGATTTTTGATTGGGCTTTTTAAATTCTGAATAATTTTAATCTAAAGTTTGAAGATGTGAAAACTCGAGATACAGCTAGTGGTAGCGTCGTGAATTTGACAGCGACATGAACATATACACGATGACGTTCACGCATCAACCAAGCGATCATGTCAAGTCAAGCAGTCAAGCGGTTATATTTTTATTTTATGCATTTCGCGACGCGACGCTATTGTGTCGCTTGATAATAAACATTAATAAAAATTAATGTTAATATTATTACTATATGTTTATAATACTTATTATTAATGATTATCATTGTTATATGTTTCTCTCTCTCTCTCTCCCCCTCTCTCTCTCTCTCTCTCTCTCTCTCTCTCTCTCTCTGTCTCTCTTCCCCCCTCTTACCATTTCTTGCTCTTATGCTCTCAATTCTCTTTCCTATTTACTACTGATTCTCTCTCACTCTTTCTCTCTCTATCTCTCGTCATTCGTTGTCATCCTCTGTCGTTGTCTAGCGTCGGCGTCATTATCGTCGTCGTCTGACATCGACATCGTTGTCGTTCGGCGTCGTCGTCCGACATCGACGTCATTGTCTTCGTTCGGTATCGGCGTCATCGTTGTCATCGTCTGACGTCAGCGTCATCGTTGTCGTCGTCGTCTGACATCGAGGTCGTTGTAGTTCGGCATCATCGTCCGACATCGACGTCGTTGTCGTCGTTGTTGGTCGATGTCGGCATCGTCGTCTGACGCCGTCGTTGTTGTCAGCGTCTCTCTCTCTCTCTCTCTCTCTCTCTCTCTCTCTCTCTCTCTC